GTGCAATGGCGGAAAAAAGATAAAAATATATATGTAATCAAGAACAAAGTAACAAATTCATTCATAATGCTTCCCTTAGCACCTAATACACATATTTTCGATTATACTAGTATCTATAAACGTGCGTTGCACGTTAATAATGACACATGATGGTTTAAATATTTATTTATATGAAGGAATAATAAATTTTACTTAATGAGAAATTTTTTATATATAATAATACAAAAATCATCTAAATACCGAAAAATGTTATTACATTAGCCTAGTACGTGAATTCAAATGAAAGGACATCATTACAACTTGTACAAATGATCAATTTTAGTCATGTTAAGTAGATAATTATCTATTGTAGTCTAAAGATATCTAATGTGATGGTATCTTACCGAACACTTCTTTATAGACGATATTTTTTTGTGTATGTTTCCTTCTAATACTTTGGTTGCTCTGCCATAACCAGAACTCTTGTTGTCGATATTGATATCTCTCTTAAAGTTGCAATATATAGTTACTCGTGTAAGAAAACATATTGTCGTAAATATAGTCCAATATTTATGATGTTCGTCCTTGTACTTTATTTAATATAACTACAAAATATAAACATATTGAAAATTATTTTCACAAAAATTTAAAAGGATATTCTTTAGTTTCAGAAGACGAAAGCTGAATTCGGGAACTCAAAACTTCAACATACCATATGTGTACTATTGCATAAGCTATTATGCTGATCTAAATTTTCAGTAGTATGACAGACATATTTTTCTTCAAAATCAACCTATGCAATGGAAGATAAATTTTTACTTAGTTTATATTATATATGTTTGCACTAACATACGTAAGAAATAATGACTTGACAACAAACATGTACGGTTGAGGGCCATTTGGTATTAAAGTATTTAAGTATTCTTCTTGGTAGTAATTATTAGTATCATTTTCTGGTGAGTCAAAACTGAAAAATATTTTGTTTTTATCATAAAACTTAGCAATCAATCTTTTATTTAGTTGATCAACATATTCATTTCTGCTAGCTAAGATAGCTCTTTAATTTCTATCATGTAATTTGCACAAATTGCGTTTTAATCTAATATTTTTTTTTATTAAATGCACTACTATTACCATTGGGGTTGATAACCAAGCGTTCTACAAATCATCTTTTACTGGATGCTCTTCTTCGTTTCCAACACGTAGCAAGAGTCATTGAATATTGGATATGTTCTTACTTTTATATTTCTTGTCATTTGAATATTTTCCAATTGAGGCCATAAGTATAATTTTGGCAAGCTAACTTTTATAGTTTTTGCTTTCGTCAATTTTGAAACTACTGATAATACTTGACAGAAATCACCTTCCAAACTATTAATTTTCCACCAAACGGTTCATTGATATCTCATATATCTCTAAAACTCTGGGCAATTGTTTCGATCGTTTGATGCTTAGCCAAAAGCGTTTCATCCCTTATTAGCACTTTTGGTTTCCTTATAAATTAAGCACTATTGTCCTGCTTTGATATATTTGTGATGATTATTTCAGTTATTTGAAGAGGTATATCAAATGTAAAGTGAGTTGTACGATCCTCTGTTTTAAAAGGCAGAATTGGGACTCGCCCCGGGGCGGATCACTCGTAAAACGCCCATGGGCTTATGTGTGGGGCTTAGTTCCGTGAGACTTACGCCTCGGCCACCGGAGCTTACGCCTCGGACATGCCCAACGCCCAGGGTACTGGGCTCGCCTAATAGAACTTTATGCAATTGTATGTAACTAACCTTATAAACTCTCAAATTTTCTTAACAAATCGTTGACTATTCAAAATTACTTTTTTCTTAATCATAAATCATTAAGTTGAGAGTATTTTATGTCATAATTAAAATAAAAATTATTGCACGTTATCCACTAAGACTGCTATGATAGTAAATTTTAAATAAATCTTTCATTTCAAAAGTATTTATTTATTAACTTTTGTTATGTCTTTACTATATAATAGTCCATAATTTTTTTATAATTATTTTTCTAAATATTATTTTTTTCACATTTATGAGATACAATACTTATTAATTTAATAACTCAGTATTAGCTAGTAACTATTTACAAATAATTAGTTATGATGATATTGTATGGTGAATTATGTGTCAGTTTATTAACTTGTTGAAACTTAAAAATAAATGATGCTAGAGAATCATATTTAAATTATTAATTATGTTTTTATATAAATTCTCTTTCAAATAGAAAGCATATTAAATAAAAGGATTATTTTAAATAAAATATCAAATTATAATATTGAAATTCTTTCGTGATTTACTACTCCTTAAGAGATACATATAAGATTTCATATCGAATACATTACTTTTGATGTTTGAGTTGTAACGACGTTGCAACTAATTTGCATATTATGATATATGTCATACTTTTCGTATTATTCATAGTCGAATTAATTTGTAAATATTTTAAATAGATTATTTGTTATAATTTTGTGATTTTGATGTAACTTTTATAATTATTTTTATTTTATACTATCTTAAAATTCTTGAAATTAGTAAAAAAATTTAAAGATCCGTGGACTTACGCCCCATGTCTCAGGGCTTGCTCCGCCTCGTCAGAGGTAAAACGCCTCGCCTCACGCCCCACCTTTTAAGCATTGGTACGATCTCATAATAAAATCATTGATGGTACACCACTTGTTCTTATTGCTAAATATCATGCCTCTTGATCTGATATTTGCAAGTAATGCATGACATAGGAATATTTATTTCGATTCCGTCGGGCATTACAAAGAATAATCCCCGCTTATCGAAGTCGACTTTTTATAGTATAGTCTTGAAGCTTATTCTTGCTAGGATTTAGCTTTGATTGTGCTTCCTCAAACACTTATATAACCTCATAATATTATACTAATCTTTTTTACTTTGTGATCTATTTTTTTAATCTCTTAACACTGTTTGTATGAAATAAATTTAATTTACCCTAAGATTTTTTTAAACTTGAAAAATAATTTTACTCATATGATGAATTAAAAAGTAATTTAATTAGATTATCTTGCCTAAATAATTAATTAAAATTTTTGATTATTTTGGTTTAACATAAAAATAATTTACTTTCTATTGATTCGGATTCTTAATATTAGTTCATCTCATGTTTGAAATATTTAACCTTAATTATAATTTTATCCACTATGAATTTGATTTCCAAAGAGTAAAAAGATTGATCTGACATTTCACTTTTAGATTTTATGTTTGTAAAATCATTAATGGTATTGACTTTTACCAACCTTCTCTGTCTCTTTCTCACACATTTATATTCTTAAAATATTTTTTTAGTTGTTCTTTAATAATTGAGTATATTTTTTAATATGACACGAAAATTAATAATAATAAATATTATTTGATTAGGAAAGTAGTTCAAATATAATAGAATAATATATTATCATGGGAATTTTTTTCAATATTCAAGATTATATTAATTTTAAAATGTTAAATATTAAAAAAAAATTAACATAGAAGTTATTGTCGTCCAAAAAATAAGTTTATTACAATTATGTCATTTCCTATGAGTTCTTCTGTATAATATAGGTCTATTAGTCTATCAATATTGTATTCCTGCTTATAATATAAGATCTCTTGTTTCTATATGAATTTTGGACAATATATAATACATTTTCATATAATTAAATTAGTAATAGAAATTTTTAAGAAGTATATCCCAAAAGTAATAGGATTACATGGCTAAAAAATATGTTATAATCACGAAAGTATCCTCACATGTAGTATTATGTCCTCAAAACTAATAGCATTACAAGGCTAATGTCTAGAATGCGGTTATATCTTTTTATTGTGAGTTATTATGTTTAATATTGAAAGGTTATTTGTAAACCAACACTTTATTCATGCTTTTATAATAAATATAGATATAGATATAGATAGAGGAATAATTTGAATAACATAAATTTTGATAAGGATATATTAGTCCTAAGAATAATTTTTTTTTTTTTTTGCTTCTATGAGACACTGCATATTTCTACTTCCTCTTCACAGGAAAACTTTACCTCATTTACTATTCAAAATAACGCATTTTTATCGTAAATCGGCCAAATAATAAATATCTTAGCTCTCCAAAATAAGTACCATTTTTATCAAAATTTTCGGTCAAATTTTTTAGTAAGTATATTCTAAAAGTATAGGATTACTAATAGAAACCTATGTGTTCCTAAAGTATTAGGTTTACTTGTTAACATCTAGTATTTTATGTCTACGCCTGAAAGTAATTATACTAATAGGATTCCTAATGTGTAGTATTATGTCCTAAAACTAATAGGATTATAAGGCTAATATTTAGAATTTCGGTTATGTCCTTTTATTATAAGTTATTGTTCTTAATATTATAAGGTTATTTTTGTAAACCGACATTGTATTCATGCTTTTATAATAATATAGACTAGTTGTTTACTACCGCTTGATTCAACAGAGAACTCATGGGCTATGAGGTCCACGCCTTAGTGCTTGCCTTACACTGAAGCACAACTTAAGCGAGGTAAAGCGCCCTTCTTGAGCTTTTCTGAGCTTCAAGGCTTAAGTGCGCCTTAATGAGCGTTTGACAATACTGCGTTCAACCCATTCAAACCATATTTTGGACCTCGAACTAATTTTCGTAATGTCATAAGATTAAACACCAACGTGATAATAAATCCTGTCATCACCTATGTTATTGTTAACACAAAAAATGAGTTTCTGATCAATCACCGAAAATTGATTGAGGAGAAACTATGCCCTCTGCTGTTGAAATCGCCAGAATTTCCCTGTAAACTGTAGGATTTGCAAGTGTTATGCCTCAATTATCGTGTTTGAGAGCATCTTAGCTTAGTTTCATACTTACAAAAACTAATTCTTTGTTCTCCAATTAGAAAATCTGTGTGATCCTCGTTACCCGTTATTCCTTTGTTTCTGTTATTCACATCTTGAGTTTTGCATATTAGAAACTTGTCACTAGCATTAATAGTGTGCAGAATTTTACAGGGGACGTTGTTAGCCTCTTTGCTGGTATGGACTGTGCCTCCGATCTTGGCTTGGTGAGATACAGACTAAAGAAATTTGTTCATGCTTGTATTCGGGCTGTTTATGGAAACAGGTTAACTCAAGACCTTACTTCATATCTTCTTGCTTTACTTTCCCATATGAATCTTCTGAACTTCATATGGTTACTTGTTACTTTTGTCTCTGTTGAACACAGAGAAGGAGAGTTATTTGACCTTATCTTAAGGCTTAAAACCAAGCTATTTTAAAGCAAATATACAATGTTTAAGAAGGTCTTAATCGATTCTTTCATGTTATTTTTGTTTTATTAAGTACTTTCAGTGTACCTCTTTTGGATCGTATTGGACCTGGATTCCAGATCTTTATATTGCTATTTATTAGTCTTCTTTATTTGGGAATTTCATGTTTTTTCTGTGCTATGTGCCTATGTGTGTTCTGTTGAAAGACCATTTGGACCTTCACCTTCACTATCCTAAAGATTATTGTCCCCTTGAAGCAAACTGATTTGAACCTTATAAAGGAACCGTGTGAAAATCCACTGGGTTGCAAGAATTATTGCATGTCACTATTTATATTTAACATTAGCGATCTGGTTAACAATATCATTATAATGCTGGCAACAGTGCTATAAAGCTTCTATGGTTGATTCATTTTAACATGTATTCTCTTTCCACTTTCTTTTCTTCCCTAAAATAGTTGGTAGCTATTCTAGGAGGAAAACTCTGATACAGTAATTGTTTCCTATCTTGTATGCTCTTTCATGATGTCTTTCATCTTTCCATAAGCATGACCACTCTGATAACATACTCCCTAGTTGCTGGCTTTGAATTTTTTATTGTGGAGGTGTAGGAGTCTTCCTTTGCTAAATCTTGAAATTTGATAAGCTTTGATGAAGTTGTCTTCTGTGGCAGGCATTTATTTTGATAGTCCTGCTATACCAGTTATAGAACTATGATTACTCATTCATAGTGTTATTTTCTGAAAGAAGTTATTTTATCTAACACCTGTAAGGTACCAGTTTTTATGGGACAAAGTCCAATTGGAATGCTAATTAAGTGCTATCGTGTCTTACTTTTACTCATATGAGCTATGTCTGGGCAGGAATAAGTTGAGAGATCAACAATTTATGGAATCCGAGAAGTCCTGCACATCAGCAATCCTCTTGTTGGATGCAGTAACGTTGCTGATTGATTTAAGGTTTCCCTGGGCTTGCAGCAGTGTCACCTATCTTCTTCAAAGAAATATATATTCCTTATTTAGGGAAATCATTCTGATTGGCAAGGTTGCTCCTATAAATACAAGAGCTATTTAGTTGAATTATTTTACAACTTATGTAATCTTCAACAACGAGTTATTCAAGTGTATTTTCAGGGAAGTGATCACAAACTCCAAGTTGTTTGTAATTGTGGATCAATTTCAAATTTTTGTTAACTAGCTTTATTGCTTTAAAGTGCTCTTCTACTCTTGGGAGCTAAAAAGTATATCATACAAGGTGATGGTGTGTGTGACAAGCTTGTGATTTTTTCACGGAGATTTCTAATAATCCTGGCTAATGTTAAAAAGCGGAGCTTTCATACGACACTCTACAATCCTATGATTCCAATACTTCTTTGAGCTTAGGAGCTTGGCAATATACATAGACATAATATTTTCTTCGGATGGAAGATCATATAAATTAGATAAAATTGTTTTTATATGACATATTCACTTGTTTCTCTGTTTTGGTATACTGGTCTTTCGAGAATACAAATATCTCATTGACTTGGTATTTATTAAAGCTGAAGAGTGACAGCATGCAGTTTAATTTTTGCAGGAAAGAAACTTTCCAGCTTCCAACAGGGTTGTATCTTCATTCGAGCGTGTGCTTGGACTGATTATACCTCATGTTGGTCAAAGCACTTGTTCTTGTGCAAGTGTTGACCCACGGTGTTCCTTCCCTTCCCAGATTCTTACAATTCCATTTTTATGGCGGTTTTTCCCTCACCTAAAAGAGGTAAATGGATATACTGTTCCACCGGAACATGGTTATTTGTATGGAGGACCGGATCAAGGAATAATCCTTTACTGACCAAGTATCTTGTTGCTCTGTGCTAGTTCAAGTGACGGTTCTGCATGAATCATCTGCTGATATCTGTGCCATATTGTTGTTCATCTTCATTTGGAAGCTTCAGATTTATGCTTTTGGGGAGCTTTTTTTATTTGTTAGTGTTTGCTTTATATTTCCCGAAGGCTTATTCAGCTGGTTTCATTTCATTATGCAGGTCTTTGCAAGTCCATCAGTGAGTCGTCATTATTTTCATCAGATGGCATTATGCATGAAAGAGCATGTTAATGTCCTCCCTCCTGATATAGAGATTGATCTTCCTGGCTATGCTATCCTTCTAGGGAATCTACTCGAAGTTGCTAGGCTAGCTTTTGCCCTGCCAGAATCATTCACTATGGTAAAGACATGCCATTAGTTTTACTCAATAAAAAATAGATGTTATATATTTCTGTGGTCCAAGTTTTATGACTTTTGTCATTATTGTTTGGAACCTACTACTCCAGTTGCATGAAAAACTTAAAATCTTTCTATCAAGGAATGAACTCTCATGGATTAGCAATCCTGAATTTCATTCCATATGATGCTTCCTCTCTCGCATTTTATTTGTGCTAATTCAATTGGCCTTGGAGATTAAGGAAGTACTCCATATATGATTTGACAAGATTGGGGTTGGTGACAGATCTTTTGAAGGAACTAAATTTGAGAGGTAATCAGAGGAGGGGATTTGTTTTATGGAAATATATCATTTCAAGGGTGTCATCTGCCATGCTTTTTATTCTGGTGATTGAATCTGCAAGATGATAGCCAATGCTGCAGCAGGAGGCTGGTAGAGGGTTTCTCTGCATCGATCGAGGGACAAAAATTGTGTGAAGATCTCTCACCTCCTTTTTTTAATGATGCATTAGTTTTTCTGATGCCTATGCAAACCAGCCAACATACTTGTGACAGATTCTCCTGTGGTTACAAGTAGTGTTAGGACTTGAGATCAAACTTCAGGATATGTGAGATCATTCCGTGGAAAGCTGAACAACAAGAAGAAGATAGCACAGGTACTCAATTCCAAGGTTGGTGCTCTTCCTCTATCTACCACGGGTTGCCATTTGGGGGCCTCAAATAAGGATCAAGCAACATGGAATTTGATCATAAAAGGAGTTTGAGAGGCTAGTTGGATGGCAAAAGTGATACTTGTTTGTATGGCGGAAAGAAATAGAGAGTACACTGTCTCTACGTATTGCATGTCACTTTTGCAAGCACCAACCAGGTGACTGGGAGGTTGGAAAGGCTCCAAAGTAATTTTCTATAGGACATAGTAAATGATTCTAGAAAGAACCATCCATTAAGTTTGACGATTCTAACTTCCTCGACAAATAGGGAGGAGCTGGGTTGGAGGAGCTTAGAGTATTCAATAGGGCGTTACTGTGAAATGACTGTGGAGATCTGGGACTGAGGACTAGGCTCCATGGATAGAAGTGAGCACAAAAATATGGACTTGTGGACAAGGGATGAAGGGCTACGAATGTTACAGTACATTTTGGCCATGGTGTATGGAGAAACATCATGAAGGGTGGGAAGGCTTCAGTGGCAACATAACAAATAAGATTGGGAAGTACAACATTATTAGCTTCTATACTCACAGATTGGTGTGGAGAATCTGATTTTCTACATATGAAGAATAGCCTCTTATTTCTATAGTACCTTTTAGTGCACCCACGTGGTTCCAGTATGTGTTGAAGATTGGATGTACTTTGAATAGAACCATATTTTTCTCTATGACTATTTTCTGGTGTACTTCTTGTATAGGGGAACTTTCATCATAGATTAATAAATTATACTCCCTCCGTCCCAATTTATGTGGCACCATTCGGATTTCGAGAACAAAGAAAAACTCTTTACTTTTTTGGTACTCTTCTTGTATATGGGAGATTTTCCTTTCATTAATAAAATTATTTACCTTACAAAAAATAAAAATCATGTCAAAGCCAAGTTAGGGTAATGTAGCCTATTTGTGAAAACTTGAGTTAATGAAGTAATAGTTCTATGAAAGATGGCAGGTTGTTTGGAACGAAAACATGTAAAAAATGTTTATTTTTACTCTAAGAGGCATAAGCGTTTGGGGGTGTTTGTTTGTGGATGGATTTCTGTTAAGGCCAAGGTAAGGGTAAACTAGAGAATGTGTGAAAATTTGGGTCAAGTAAATATGGTTCATGCATTCAGTCTTCATTAGATGGATTTATAGGGAAATAAGGTTAATAAATGGCCAAATACATCGACAAGCCCTTAAAGTTATCCACACTTTTCACTTAGACACTTTATCTTAACTCTGTTCCATTTGAATACTTTAACCAGGCCTTTATTGTGTCGTTTAGACACAAAATTCGTAAGCAGCCAGACACAAAAGGTGCGTGTAATTCACACACCACAGTAACGAATAAGCCGAGGACATGTGGATTTAATCAAATTAAAAAAAATTGAAACGAGAACCCCACCCCACTGTCGTCATCTTCCCCAATGATTCCTCCTGGCCAGAAAAATCAATTTCTGGCCATCGCTTTTCCAGCTCTTTCTTCTTCTCCAGAAATTTAGTTTTTTTTCTTCTTTTTTCTTCATTCATCCTTTCTAGGTTAGAACTACTGAGAGTTCGGGAACCAAAATGACTGGAGAAAAAATTTCTGTAGCTATTTGTGCAAATCATTTTTTAACAGTAGAAGCAGAAGCAGAAAGAGCATAGTAGCCCCTTTCTACGGAGATAAAGGAGTGCTGCTGAGATGGTTCAATATTTTCCTTTTATTGTTCTTCTTTGGTTTTAATAATGGAGAAATCATGGACATGACAGAGAGGGGCGACCATCATTTACTGAAAATCATTGAGGCTTAGATATGTGTAAAATGGGGCAAAGAGAAGACGACAATGCCATGGCCGCTGCCGCCGATCACCGCCTGTCGGCATCGAATCTTGACGCGAAACCCCGCCCATCACAGCATTAGAGAACCAAAAATACCTTCTTCTTAATGACTAATCAAACAAAAACAACCTTTGAACACTCAAAAGTTTTCTTGTTAATTTGCTGCAATAGGAACAAATTTATGGGTGTCAGTATGTTTATCCAGTGCACTAAACAAGTTAAGCACATACTCGACATTGCCTCGCCGGAATAAATTTGTGCCAACAAAATTAACCTGCGACCCATTAGGTCTAATCGCAAAGCTTACAGATCTAAAGGGTTTTGCGAAGATCCACCGGAATTTTTTTTCGGCAAAAATATTCATTTTCCGGCAAGAAGTATGAAAGGTTTGTTTTTTAAATCATTTTCACGCGCTTGAAAAATGTGAGAGACACTTGCTTTGCCATGTCAGCATATTGTGTCTGAATGACACAATAAAAGTCTGGTTAAAGTGTTTAAATGGAACATACTTAAGATAAAGTATCTAAGTGAAAAGTGTGAACAACTTTAAGGGGCTGTCGATGTATTTGACCTTAATAAATTGTAGCAGAGGGAGTATACAATGAGACTCAAAGAGTTTTGATAGGGCTCGACATTTGAATATCAGTTTCAAGGTACACATTGTTGGGCACTTAGCATTTGACAAATCATTTCTAGTGTTTGAGGATGATTGGATATGTGATGTTCGTAAGCATCCCTTTTGCCAAATCAAACTTTTGCACATAATGATTGCTTCAGAGGTCCATTGCTAGTTGAAAAGGATGTTCTACAGAACGATTGTGAGACCAAAGGTGTCATATGTGAGTGAATGTTAATGACCTAATATATCCACAAGATGAATATAGTAGAAATGTGTATTTTAATATGGATGTGCAATTATACAAAATTGGAAATGATTAGAAAGATTAGAAATGATCATCACAGACTTAGTGGGCAAGTAGCCCAATTTTATGATAAAATGAGAGAAGGACCATGAGATGATTTGTAGATGTCCTACGTAGACCTCCCTGGTCTCTGCTTGCAGTACTGTGGTGATTGAAGGTGCTTAAAAAGATGAGCTAGACCTGAATTAGAATCGCAAAATACTGACAATCTCTGATTCTCTAGGAATCGACACCGATATAGCTAAGATAGAACACAATTAAAGCAAAAGATCCATGTAGGCGACGACAGCTAGTTGGGATTAATTAGTTGTTATTGTTACACTTACATTGAGTGAATAAATTGAGATTTATAGAACTCCAGTTTTGAGGACCCCTAATTTGCCTTAAAATGCAAAACTTGCCAGTTTTGAATGAATTAGGCTCGTATTGAGTAGGATACATAGATGATTGGCGCGTAGTATTTATCGATTGTATTTCTGGAAAGAGACAAAAATAGGTGTTAGTTGTTAAGTGTCCCGCATTGGTAGAGAGAATGGTTATTTTCTCCTTATATGATATTGGCAATCCCTCACCTCATGAGCTAGCTTTTAGGGTTGAGTTAGGCCCGAGGTATATTTTCATCACCTCCACTTGGGTTGCAACTCATGGTACTTGTCTAACTCATCATAATCTGCAGAAAAGAGGTCTTATCATTTGCAGCAGATGATTTTATGTGAAGAGGCGTATGAGTCAGTTTATCATCTCTCCTCCACTGCAATTGTACTTGCCAGATCTTGTCAATGTTTCTTGGTATTTTTGGGATTCAATGAGTCATGCATGGAAGCATAAAACAGACCTTATGTAGTTGGTATAAACAACCATCAGTTATTGGAAGTAGACACTACCGGAAAGCAGTGCCTTGTTGCATTTTGTAGAACCATTTGGTTGAGAAACAACATATTCTTCAATAGAAAAAATGAGCACATTTTATATGTTAAATTTAGATGTTTGAGGAGCCTCTTTTTGTGGTAGAGGAAAAATATTGTATCTGACATAGACGCTCTGTTGGGCCTATTGTATTCCTTCAATTTATTGAAGTAAGGAATCATTGCTGTTGTATTCCTTCATAGTACTTTCTAGGTACTCATTAATAAAATATTTACCTTGTCATAATAAAAGGTCCATTTGCTTCATGTGGTATCAAAGCCAAAGCCATCTCATTCCTTGGTTTACCCAATGTTTGGCCCCCATGTTATGTAGTTCACACTCCAAATGTGCAGCCCAAGGCATGCGAGATGTTACATTCCGTACATTGGTAGTGAGAATGGAATGTTGTCTTCTTATATGGTCTTGGTCATTCCTCACCTGATGAGTAGCTTTTAGGGTTGAGTTTTGTCCAAGGTCCATTTTCTAGTAAAAAGATATGTTGCTGATTTAGTTAAACTTTTATAATGTTGTATCCATCGTGTCTTTAAATGTGGAGCAATTTTGCGTGATTTCTGCTATTTGCATATTGATAGTGTTCTCTTGGTTGAGATGAATCAGATTACTGGATAGATACTTGATGATGACTGATGTATTGCCACAAATAAGGAAAAGGGAGTTTGGATCTTGATCATTACTTGCTCAATTGGGAGAATGTTTCTTGTAAATAATTGTTTATAGGATGTGTTTTCTTGGCTTATTTTCTTAAGCATTCACAGTAATTTCCTCTTATACCTGTTCACAGGCTGTTGATTTTGCAACTGTTGCGACTTTTTTGTTGGAAGCACTCCCTTCTCTCCAATCATCAAATATGGGAAGTAAAGAAAGTATGCCCTTGTATTATTTACACCTGAGTTCAGTTACTTCGGTAGATGTGTTCAGTTGATGTTCTAATTCGCACATATTTGAGGTTTCAAAAGAAAAAAAAAATGTAAACACCATTCTTTTAATTTTATTTTGAGCTGATTACACTTTCTTCAGATTCTTCAGTGTCTGAGGATGATATGGTCATTGATGATGAACAAACAGAAAAAGTTCTGAATTTGGGTTTGGAGCAACAGATAATCAATGGTATAGATCCACGTTTTCTTCTACAGCTGGTATGCAGTCATAATTTTCACAGTGCTAAGCATTAAGGTTCACTTTTAGTTCAGTCAAGATTTTTTCCATTTGAACTATGAGTCACATTTTATGTTTAATGAACAGACTACTGTTTTACTGGGAGGGTTTTCACCTCTCAATGGTTTACATAGTGGCCAGCTTGATGAGAAACATGTGGCAGCTGTTAGTGCAGTTTGTGCTTTCCTTCATGTGACTTTCAACATTTTGCCGCTTGAACGTATTATGACTGTACTAGCCTATCGGACAGAGCTAGTTGCTGTCCTTTGGAACTTCATGAAGCAATGTCATGAAAATCAGAAATGGTCATCTCTGTCAGAGCAATCAGCATATTTGCCAGCAGATGCTCCTGGATGGCTGCTACCATTAGCTGTTTTCTGCCCGGTTTACAAGTAAGAGCTTATGGCTTCAACATATTCAGCCTGTATCATCTGGGGGAAGGTTTCTACAGCTGTCTTGTATGGTGTGAGTTGTGACTGTGCACAAGTAAATAACACTTCTTCTCCTCTATCCTGAATCAGGCACATGCTTATGATTGTCGATAATGAGGAGTTCTATGAACAGGAGAAGCCATTATCTCTGAAGGATATCAGATGTTTGATTGTTATCCTTAGACAGGTAAAACCTTATATAAGACAATCAATAAACGGGTAAAGAAAAGACTTAATATGTTTTACTGATCAAAAGAACTTTTAAATTGTTGTCTCTTCATCTCGGCATGGGAAAATACTGTCGTGATGGTATGGGAAGCACAACAATGATAGGATTAGCATAACACAAGTACACAACAATGATAAGATTAGCAGGTCAGCTGGTTTAAGAATCAAGGGTGGGGATTCATTATCACTGTGATTGATGAAGACTTAAAGAATCCTCAATTTATACTGTGAAAAAGTGTATTTGCTTGCAATTACAGGCTGCTAATCTACCTTATGAACCAAGAACAAGAAAGGATGTTCTCCACTCTCCACCTCAATTTATACTTGTGATTTAAGGCATGAGCATATATGTTCATCGGTTCAAGACTTCCACAGGAAGTTAGTGCTGATAAACGTTTTTCCTTCTATCCTTGGTCATGATTTGAGAAATGCTTGCTCATAAAGTAAAGAATACGGAAGCAACAGATTAAAGCACCTAGAAACCTTGTGACAGACCTTTTGCCCATTTAGCTCTACACTTGGGTGTCGATGTAGCGGATGCCTTGGAGAGCATGACCAACCACATTCATTACTTTAGTATTCATCACGATTTGACTATTTTAATGCTAGTTTTTGAACCTACCACAATATCCTCCTTTATCTGGATTTGGGACAGTATGATCTGGAGCTAGCACCTGAAGACTATGATAAAACAAAATCTGGTGTTATGGTCCACTGAACTGAAATTGGACCTAGGTGTAGCTGGAAGTGCCCGTATTTGTTATTTTGATTGTTTAAAATGCTCTATATTTTTGGATTAGTAGAACCATGTCTTGCTTTAAAATGCTATTTCAAGGTCTTGCATAAGCTAAAATCCAACTTTTCTTTTACTTGGAGAGTGCAAAGTGTGCAATTGATAAAAGGAGACTATAAGGGCTCATGTTATATTATATCAGGACTCATTCCTGCACTAATGCATCTATGCTTTACACACTTAGGCCTTGTGGCAGCTCCTCTGGCTGAATCCTATGGCGCCTGTTAACTTTGGTAAATCAACAACTGATATCTTTGCTATGAAGAAGCATCCATTAGAGTTCCTTCAGCATAGGGTTAGTGTTGTAGCATCTGAACTCCTATCACAGGTAGATATACAGTCCCTCTTTCAAACATGATTCCTGCAATATTTTTTCTTTAGTTGAATTATTTAATAATTATAGTTTTGAGATATAAAGATTATATTAAATTACTGTTCTAACATAGAGTTATTGTAGTTACAAGATTGGAACAACAGACGGCAATTTACACCTCCTAGCGAATTTCATGCAGATGGTGTAAATGAGTACTTCATATCTCAGGTAATAGTTTTGCAATTGCTAATTTGCAATGTAGGTTTCTTCTGGTTAGGTTCTTTTTTCATAAATTTGTTGCAGTAATTGGAAATATCTTTCAGGCAATGACGGAGAACACTAGAGCCAACGATATACTAAAGCAAGCTCCATTCCTGGTGCCATTTACTAGCCGAGCCAAAATATTTACTGTGAGTGATTAAATCTGCACAGTTCTTCTTTGATTTTCTCTTTTTAAGTCTTGTCATTTTCACTTTTTTTGCCTTGCCGTTTTACTCCTTTTGGACTTCATATCTATTATAGGAAAATGAGTGGCTCCATTCCCCTTAGACTTATTTTGTTCTTTTTGGTTAGCTTTGTATAAGTTAAGAGTTGCACATTGAGCCAATTGAAGTTAGTCAATTTCTTGTATAGCATGTCACTCCGCTCAACTAACCCATTGTTTAAATCATCTGGCAGTCACAGCTAGCTGCAGCAAGAGAGAGGAATGGGAGCCAGGGTCTTTTTGCTAGGCATAGATTCAGAATTAGAAGAGACCATATTCTGGAAGATGCTTTTAACCAATTGAATGCATTGTCGGAGGAGGATCTCCGAGGACTGGTAATGCATTTGCTCTCTGTGTGATTATGTTCACTTTCTATTTGATTATAGACGTGCATGTATATGTGCAAGTATGCGTGTGTGTGCGTACACTTTACTCAGAAGAGATACTTTCTATTCCTGTGGTTAACCTTGTGTTTCCAGATACGTGTAACCTTCGTTAACGAACTTGGAGTTGAGGAAGCTGGTATAGATGGTGGTGGGATATTCAAGGATTTCATGGAGAATATTACTCGAGCAGCTTTTGATGTACAATATGGATTATTCAAGGTGCTAATTTCATCAATGTTGTTAGATATTAATGCTTGGACCTCTTGCCCCGTAACTAGTTGTGGTTCCAGCTAAAGTGTTCGGTACTTTCAATAAAAGAAAACAAATGTGAGCAATTTTACTTAGGTAATTAGGTTCCTGTCCTGCTCTTTTCTATTTCTCTTTTCTTGTGCTAGTGGTAAAAATTCTCTGCAAAGATTTTGTATTTTGCTAAGGCCACCGTTGCTTATTTTTACCGTTTCAACCAATCGAGTTTTGTGTTGGCTGTTTGATTTGTACCAAAATACAACATGTGATTTTGGCCTCAATTAATTGGGATTGAATGGTTAACTTCTAGAGGGTTATTGAGATATAGTTTGTTTATAAGACTCCAACTACAGCCTGCTACAATAAATTTCTATTGTATATATATTTCACCACTGACATTTTATACCTCCTAGAATAGTCATTTGGAATCATTTCACATGGTTTAGATTCTTTTTAGTTTTTCTTGTTAAAAAGGGTTTATCGAGCCTTATTATGGTCAGACTCGTTTGGATTTTCTCATCCAACCTAATTTTTGGAATAGCTAGCCTGTTTAGATTAGGGAGAGGAGCAGTTTTACCCATTCTCTATCTTCTCGCAAGTAGGACATCAGTTGGGTTTTGAACTTAAGGGAATAGTCTTTTGCTTATGATCTATCTGAAGACTAGCTGGTATAGCAGCCCAAATTTACCTATTGTGGAAGGTCAATTGTTGCTTCCTCTTTTGAGATTGCAATCCCTGTCGAGTCAGGAAGGAAATGAGTATTGAGTTAGGTAATCGGGTATCGGGGCTCTTGGCTCCGATGGAGCAGGATTAGGCAAAGGAATGCCTCCTTGAATCTTCCTTGAGTTGACGTCACTGAGAAATTTACTCTTGGGCCTGTCTTGTTGGGATCCCTAGATCTAAAGGGACCTTATCAAGCCATTCCCATCTCCATTTCTAAAATCAATCTTAGGGCTTTGAGCGCGTTGAGGACTCGATAGCAATTTCATCGTCTTTCCAGTTCAATCGCTCCTTGCCCATCTTTTTGAAACATGTCTTATATCTGACTTGGATAGCTGAGTGGTAGAATCCTGCACAAATTAGTCTATCCTGGGCTCACTATTGGAAATTGAAAATGAAGAGGAGAGTATCTGCTCAGATAATATGGTGGAAATAAACGTTTGATTTATACTCATGTTATCGTTTTGTTCATTAACTTACTTATCTTGTGTTAGATAGTTATGTGTAAATAATCCTAGTCCATATGTAGTAGGAGTAGAATATGTCCTAGTCCCATATGTAGTTGGAGTAGAATATGTCCTAGTCCCATATGTAGTAAGAGTAGAATATGTATTATATATAGGGCTCATTGTATCATTTAAAGAAAATTGATTTTTCTCCCGTGCATTCTGTTAGATGCTGAAAATTTATGACAGAGAAATTAAGAAGAGAAGGAAATTACTATTGGCAATAGATTGTGCAAGAATCTTAAACACAATTTACAACCAACAAATCTGTCCGTATGGAGTGGACAAAACTCCCAGATACTAATATTTAGACAAACATTCAATGCCTTAAAACTAATCCTGACTAGATATTTATAGAATACATATTGTTTAAAATAACTAAGAAACTGTAAAGCCTAATCAGATAGTAGGTTGGAATATTTAGTAACTGCTGGAGATAATCAATGAGGCAGTTTCTTCCCAGGGCAGTTTCTTCATGCTGGAGAGAAATTGGACTTGGTCAAAGCTGCACAAATCTTATTTCCTCTTTCACGTTTTCTTCTAAAATAAGTCTTCAAAGGTGGGATTGTATCAGTGCACCCCTTCTGAAAAGACGCCTTGTCCTCAAGGCGAAAGGAAGGAAACTGACCAGCAATTAAGTCATATTCTTCCCAACCAGCTTCTTCAACCGGACGATGACGCGATTGAATGAGTAATTCCAAAGTTGGAATCCCAGACCCTTTCACCCAACGGTGCGACAAAACTTTTTCAGGCTCCACCATGAATTCTAAATCAGCAGAAAGCGGCAAGGGTGGAGGTGATGGGATATCAGAATAGCCATGAGCAGGGCGAAGCAAGGGAACATGAAAAATTGGATGTACCTTCGCTGTAGGAGGAAGCTGCAGTTCGTAAGCAACAGGACCTATTTTGCGAACAATTTTATATGGACCAAAAAAACGAGGAGACAGCTTCTCATTAGGACGTTTGGCCAGACTCTTCTGACGATAAGGCTGCAGACGGAGTAGAACAGCATCACCCACGTTAAAAGACAAATCACGTCGCTTGGAGTCAGCTTGTGATTTCATACGAGATTGAGCTTTCAAGAGGTTGGAATGCAGTAACTTTAACATCTGGTCACGGGCCAAAAGTTGTGCTTCTAGATCAGCAATTTTAGTCTCACCAGGAACAAAAGGATGCAATGGTGGTGGCTCCCTCCCATACACAACTTGAAAGGGAGTCATATTGGCTGATGAATGGTAGCCCGTGTTGAAAGAATACTCGGCCCAAGCTAGGTATTGATACCATGATTTAGGCTTTTCATGAACAAAACAACGCAAATAGGCTTCAAGGCACCGGTTAACTACCTCCGTTTGGCCATCGGATTGAGGATGGTAAGAAGTACCCATACGAAGACGTGTACGACTAAGACGAAAAAGTTCCTGCCAAAAAGCACTTAAGAAGATGACATCACGATCTGAAAGAATAGAGCGAGGTAAACCATGCAACCGGACAATTTCCCTACAAAACAAAGCAGCTACTGTTTTGGCAGTGAATGGATGGGATAAGGCAAGAAAATGACTATATTTGCTGAACCTGTCCACTACCACAAGGATGGTGTCATAACCATTTGATGAAGGTAGCCCCACAATAAAGTCTACGGAAATGTCTTCCCAAACTCGGTTGGGAACTGGTAAAGGCTGCAAAAGACCACTTGGAGCCAAAGTTTCATATTTATGTTGCTGACAAATCAAACAATTCTGGACAAACAACTTCACATCTTGCTTCAAACATGGCCAGAAAAAATTTGCAGAAACTCTTTTGAGAGTTTTCAAATATCCCCCGTGGCCTCCTGTTGGAGAATCATGCGCCTCAGCTAAAATCTTGGCTTTAAGCTCAGGGTAATCAGGAATTACCAATCGAGATTTATAGAAAAGATGGTTGGCAGCCAGTGAAAAATCTGAATGAGAGGACGGGTTAGCGGAAAGTTCAGCTAAAACCTGCTTGGTATATGGATCAGCTTCAAGTGCTTCCCTTAAAGTGCTGAAATCTAATGAAACGGGCATTGCTAGAGTCAAAAAATCAGCATGTTGAGGGCGGCGAGACAGCGCATCAGCTCCTTTATTTTCACTACCCGCCTTATAGACAATAGTGAAATCAAATGGCAAAAGCTTCATCAACAAACGCTGCTGTTCAGCAGTGGTTACCCTTTGATTCAGGAGGTATTTTAGGCTGCAATGATCAGTTGTGACAAGAAAATGCCGACCCAAAAGATAGTGTTTCCATTTTTGTAATGCAAGAACCAAAGCCAATAACTCACGATCATAAGTAGATTTGATCCGATTAGAAAAAGAGAAACCCTTACTAAAATAGGCTAGAGGATGACTTTGTTGTAGTAGAATAGCACCAACACCATCAGCTGACGCATCACATTCAACAGTAAATTGTTGAGTGAAATCGGGTAGACGAAGAACAGATACTGATGTCAAGACTCTTTTAAGATGCTGAAAAGCCTCTCCTGCTTTTGAATTCCATATGAAAGCATCCTTTTTGGTCAAGTCCGTCAAGGGACGAGCAATGATACCATAGTTCTTAACAAAACGTCGGTAATAACCGGTAAGTCCCAGAAAACCTCGAAGTTCCTTCACATTCTTTGGCAGAGGCCACTCTACGACTGCAGATATTTTTTCTAGATCCACGGCTACTCCCTCTCTGGAGATCATATGACCTAGAAACCCAATCTGAGGTTGCGCAAACAGACACTTTTTAGGATTAGCAAAATAAGAATTTGTGGAAAGGAGGTGAAGAACTATCTGGAGATGGTTTTGGTGTTGCTGGAGGTTAGGACTATAGATTAAAATATCATCAAAGAAAACCAAGATGAATTTTCTGAGATAAGGTCTGAAAAGGTCATTCATTGCAGATTGGAAAGTGGCGGGAGCATTAGTGAGTCCGAAAGGCATTACAAGAAATTCATAATGCCCTGAATGAGTTCGGAAAGCCGTTTTATGGATATCAGTTGGCTGGACACGAATTTGGTGGTATCCTGAACGAAGATCTATCTTTGAGAAAATAGAGGCTCCATGTAACTCATCGAGTAACTCATCAATATTGGGTATTGGATATTTATCTGGTACAATTATCTTATTGAGGCCACGATAATCAACACAAAATCTCCAAGAATCATCTTTCTTTTTGACTAACAGAACTGGGCTAGCAAAAGGGCTTGAACTTGGGCGAATAAAACCAGACTCCAGTAAAGCAGCCACTTGGTTCTCAATTTCAGTCTTTTGAGCATGTGGGTAACGATATGGTCTAATGTTTGGTGGTTTAGAATTGATAATAGGGAAATAGCATGGGAATGTGCCCTAAATGGTGGAAGAGATGTTGGCTCATTGAACACAGATTGGAATTCTTGTAAAAGCATCTGAATCGGGTTACCTGGCGTCTCTGAAATTTTGTTGTAAACTTGAAGTGAAGCTGTTGCTGAGTTAGCTGACCTGACTCCTTGCAACTTGTAACGTTTCCCCTGCCAGTTGAAAATGATGAACATGTCCTTCCAATTGGCTTGAATAGTGTTGAGAGAAGCTAACCATTTGATACTAAAGAGTAAAGACCAAATCAGCACCCCCGATGGAGAAAGGATAGTAATCTTGCGTAATGGTTAAGCCCGGCAACTGAACTGTCACATTTTTGCAAACTTTGTTGCAGCGAATTATGTCACCATTTCCAATCTGGACACCGAATGTTGGAACAATGTCTATTATAATTTTAAGTTCCTCCACAACTGGTTCAGCCACAAAATTATGTGTTGACCCGCTATCCGCAAGGATCAAAATCTGTCGCTGGTTGATTGAACCTTGAAGTTTCATTGTAGCACTAACTGAATGCCCCAAAATTGCATGGAAAGAGATTTCAGCGAGATCAGCTTCCGGTGTTTCATCAACTTCAGCATTAGCCACCTCATCGCCAATTATTTGTTCCTCATCAGCAATCTCCATTAGAGATAAATTCTGAAATTTGCATCTGTGCCCCGGCGAGAATTTTTCATTACAGTGGTAACACAGTCCTTTAGCCATCTGGATTTTCCGTTCAGCATCCCATACTCGAGCTTGTTGGGGTTGGGTTGTTGTTTGGTTAGATGGTAAGGGGTTTCTGGTATAGTAATTTGCAGGGAAAGAAGAAGCGCTGCCTGGGACATTTTTGGCGAAGGAAGATGAGGTTTGTGAGTTGGATCTATTAGTTGCGGTCCAATTAGGTCCTCTGGTGCTGCGATTTGGGCCTGATTTTTGCTCAAATTCAAGAGCCAAACTCATAGCTCTGTACACTGTTCTAGGTTTGTGAATTCTTACATCAGATTTGAGTTCCTCCTTTTTAATCCATTTAAAAACACACCTAAGAGACAGTGATCTGGCCCGTTTGTGACTCTTGACGATCGCTTAGCAAATTCCTGCCGATATTCTTGAACAGATCCTATTTGCCTTATGTTACAAAGATACTCATCAAGATTTTGAAATTCAGCCGGTCCAAAATTTTCCAACAATGCTTTAACTAGTTCCTCCCAGTAAAGCAAGGTGTGCTCACGATTGATCCAAGAGAACAAGTCAAGAGCATCGCCTTCGAGATACATAGCCGCAATGTCGACTTTGAGATCATCAGAAGTCTGATAATAGTGAGTATTTTTCTGCCTTCAAAATCCATCCTCTAGGATCTCCTCCTTCAAATTTGGGAAACTCCATTTTTGTGTGAGGCCTCCGGGAAGTGCTCTTGGGTCCCCATGGACTGTCAACATCTTCTTCCTCTTCTAACCAACCGGATTTTCCTTCGTTACGCTTTTGATGACTAGTTTCCGCTTGTTGGGTGTGGCCAGTTTGGGCTTTCAGCGTTGCAACTTCGGCTGGCAACGTATCTATCGTGTTTAATTTTGATGCTATAGTCGTTAATTGTTGCGCAATGGAATCTGCGTTAGGTGGGTCATCTTGGATGCTAGAAGACCTGGTATTAACCATTTCGGATCTTGCTGCTCTGATACCAAAATGTTAGATGCTGAAAATTTATGACAGAGAAATTAAGAAGAGAAGGAAATTACTATTGGCAATAGATTGTGCAAAAATCTTAAACACAATTTACAACCAACAAATCTGTCCGTATGGAGTGGACAAAACTCCCGGATACTAATATTTAGACAAACATTCATTGCCTTAAAACTAATCCTGACTAGATATTTATAGAATACATATTGTTTAAAATAACTAAGAAACTGTAAATCCTAATTAGATAGTAGGTTGGAATATTTAGTAACTGCTGGAGATAATCAATGAGGCAGTTTCTTCCCAGGACAGTTTCTTCATGCCGGAGAGAAATTGGACTTGGTCAAAGCTGCACAAATCTTATTTCCTCTTTCACGTTTTCTTCTAAAATAAGTCTTCAAAGGTGGGATTGTATCACATTCTCACTTGGTAGCAGAGCTTCACTGTGAAAATTATCGCTGTGCTTCATTCTAGCGGCATCCGGGAAGAAAGATCTGGTCGCCGTGCAATTTCCCGGCAACTTCGTCTTGTTCCTAGGGTTCATCATTGCTATAGTCGTATTGTGCATATACCAATACCAACATCAGATCCGAAACCTTGTGCGACCAAACCCCAGAAATCACAGTCCCATAGGAATAGAAAAGTCACTCACCGGCTGTTTTTCTAGTTGACGACTCAAGATTTATTTGTGTTATCTCTTCATCGATAAGTATTGTGCGAAAACCAACACTACCAATTTGTTCGGAAAAGTCAGGTGATAAAACCCCAGTCAATCGCTCTGGCAGAAAGTCCCTCACGCGCTTCCATGTGCCGCCAGAACTAGGGTTTCGGCGAGCGCGTCTGACACGCGCCGGCGTGTGGATCACTTTGCAGCTAAAATATTCAAAAATTTCTTTAGGACAGTTGTTTCGTGGAGTGATTCCAAGTCCACCAGTATAATTTCCTACAGATTCCGAGAACTTTGGAATTTTTCGGCGCGTGTGAGCCATTCTGGCCACTTTTTGACAAAACTTCTTCAGGACAACTTACCCGTCCTGTGATTCCGAGCCTACCATATAAATTACATCTAATTCTGACAATTTATATTTTTCTGGTGTGAACAGTGATTTTCAGAAAAGTTTCTGTTTTCTGGTGGTGTTTTAGAACCTATTTTATAGTGTGAAATTCGGCTTAGTCTCACTATTTTCAAATTTCTCCGGCGACTTTTCGGCCAACTTCTGTTTATCATCAACCACCTGGTTTTGTTACTCAGGGGGAGTCTAGTAACCTTGTATGTCTGTATGTCGCTTGCGCCGGTCACTTTATGGTCTAGAGCAGTCTACTCGATTCTGGTGTGGTAGATTCAGTACAGTTATCCAGGAGTTTGGCATGACTCGTAGTGAAGTCGAATGATCAACTTGCAGATATTTTCACCAAGTCCCTCTGGTCCTCGTATTAGTTACATATGTAACAAGGTCGGCACATATGATTTGTATGCACCAGCTTGAGGGGAGTGTTAGATAGTTATGTATAAATAATCCTAGTCCCATATGTAGTAGGAGTAAAATATGTCATAGTCCCATATGTAGTAGGAGTAGAATATGTCCTAGTCCCATATGTAGTAAGAGCAGAATATGGATATTATATAGGACTCATTGTATCATTGAAAAAAAATTGATTTTTTTCCGCGCATTCTCACATGTTGCCTCCCCTTGTGTTTTCAGGAAACTGCAGATCATCTACTCTATCCAAATCCTGGATCTGGGATGTCTCATGATCAACACCTCCAGTATTTTCATTTTCTTGGGACAGTTCTTGCTAAGGTATTGACACTTGTGTAATGCTTGTTCAGCATATGACCTATGATGACTGGTGATTGACTCAACTTCTGACATGCTGTTGTATGTTCTTTCTGAACAAAGCACAATACTTGCTTTGGTGCAGAATTACGCTTAGGAAGGATTATCATCTCGAAATGTAGCTCTTTCTCAAATAATTGTCATCTTGAATGAGATATGCTTTTTCATTGGTTAAAGCTTTTTGTTTTAGACTGGAATATAGTTGTGTGATTTAACGACTCCAGCCAAAAAAAGAAAAAAAGGAAGAAGCAGTTGTGTGATTATCTTGGAAGCTGCTTCCATATAAAAACAGTTTCTCTGATGACGGATGGGTGCTTTGTTAGCACTTATTTCAGATTCCAGAATTGTTGATGATGATATTTGATAGTAAATTTCTTCATTATCATCACCAGACTTAAGTTCAGCTCAACTTCCAAAAACCAATACGAAAGGGATTAACCTATCTGTACTGGTTCTGCTTCAGCTCTGTGTTATCATTTACAATAAAGTTAAATGCGCAATTAAATATTATGAGAAATATGGATGCACATTATTCAAGAGAGAGAGAGAGAAGGAGAGGGGGAGGGAGAGAGAGAACTTCAGATGCAATGATTTAGTAATATATTTCTTTGTTAGCAGCATTTATATCCCATTATTTCTGAGCTTATGGGTCTTTAGCTAGGACATTTTTCTTTAGATCTGCTTCTCTCAAGGTATTTACATTTTGTGCCTTTAAGCTTTTATCTTGACAGCAAATGTTTTATTTTCTTTTCCTCTCCTGATGTTGTAGGCAATGTTTGAAGGCATTCTCGTTGATATTCCATTTGCGACATTCTTTTTGAGCAAGTTGAAGCAGAAGTAAGCTTATAGGAAAAGTCTTATGTGATTTAATTTATTTTGTAGTGGTTCCGATATGCAATGTACTCATCTTTATGATGGATAGAGTGCATGATGAAGGCTTAAAATTGAGCAAATTTACTGGAAGACTTGATGTATAAACCTTCCAAAAAATAAAGTAGAAAATCAAACCTTTTTTAACCAAAAAAAAAAAAAGAAAAAAGAAAAAAAGAGAGCAGCTGCATCCTCTAGAAACTAATGAAATTTCATGCAATAGCTCATGCAAGTGACACTGAAGTATTGTCTATATTCTCTATGGACCCAGAAAATTCTTTCATGAAATATACCATGTAGTTGTGGTTATTGTTCTCTTCTTTTTTATGTAATGAACCACATTCCTCTTGGATAACAGTGTGAAGATAGTTTTGTAAATAGAATTAAGGAGTTGGTCTTTTATGAATCATTATTTTCTTCTATTGTTTTTGTGAGAATGCATGGGAGAAAAATCTAATTATTAACAAAGATACAATGAGCTCTATATGTAATACATATTCTACTCCTACTACATATGGGACTAGGACTATTTGCACATAACTATCTAACACTCCTCCTCAAGCCGGTGCATACAAACCATATGTACCAAGCTTGTTACATATGTAAATAATACGAGTACCAATGAGGGACTTGGTGAAAATATCTGCAAGCTGATCATTCGACATACAAGGCCAATATACTCCCCTTGAGCAACAAAACCAGGTGGTTGCTGATAAACAGAAGTTGGCTGAAAGGTCGCCGGGAAATTTTGAAAATAGTGAGACTAGGCCGAATTCCACACTACAAAATAGGTTTTAAAACACCACCAGAAAATAGAAACGTTTCTGGGAATTACTGTTCATGCCGGGAAATCACTGTTCACGCGGGAAAAGTGCACTGTTCATGCCGGAGAAAATAAAATTTGTCAGAATTTGATGTAACTTGTATGGGTAGGCTCGGAATCACTGGACGAGTAAGTTGTCCAGAAGAAATTTTGTCAAAAAGTGGCTGGAGTGGCTCACACGTACTGGAAAAGTTACTATAGCTCGTCGGAACCCTAGTTCCGGCGGCACGTGGAAGCGCGTGAGGGACTTTCTACCGTAGCAATTGACTATTTCCGAACAAGATGATAGTGTTGGTTTTCGCACAACACGTACCGATAGTGTTGTAAAGAGCGTGAAGCGAGGAAAAGCGACAAGCCCCTTTTCGCTTAAAGCGTGAAGCGGAATTTTAAAAAAAATATTAAAATAAATATTGAAATAAAAAAATAGGCAGTAAGAACAAAGAACTGAAACAAAAAAGAAGCCAGTAAGTAAGAAAAAAATTGGGTAGCATTTCGCTGCAATTTAAGACGGAAAAATTGAAAGAAAAAGAAGAAGAAGAAGAGAATAAGAAAAGAACTGAAGGAAAAAAAAGATTTGGCAGCATTTCGCTGCTATTTTGAGGCTGAAACAGTGAAAGAGGAAGAAGAAGGAGGAGGAGCTAGTCGCTGTTTTTCTCTGCTGTTAGATGATGTTTTGGAAAAAGACAGTTTTTTATTTAAGTAACGTTGGCAGCCACTTAACATAGTGAAGCACTCGCTTCTCACTTTTTTGGCAGAAGCGCACGCTTCATATCACCTGCTACGCTTCACAACACAGAAGCGGCCATGTGCCCGCCCTGCTTTGCTTCGCGCTTTAAGCGCTGAAGCGAGCACTTTTCACAACACTGCTCACCGATGAGGAGATAACGCGAATTAATCTTGAGTCGCCAACCGAAAGGACGCACGGTGAATGATTTTTCTGTTCCGATGGGATTGGAATTTCTGGGGTGGTCGCACAAGGGTTTCGGATCCGATGGTGGTAGTGGTATATGCACAGTACCACTGTAGCAGTGATGAACCAAATTCATGTGCCAATAACTTCTTCCTCTAAGTCTCCACGACAAAATGCATTCTTCACATCAAACTGTTGCAAGTCCCCATCAAGATTAGCTGCACAAGACAAAAGAATTCTAATAGCGTTCATCTTAGAAACTGGGGCAAATGTCTCCTGATAATCCACTCCATAATTTGAGTGAATCCCTTAACCACCAATCTTGTTTTGAATCTTTCAATTGAGCCATCAGCTTTGTGCTTCACAGTGAAGACCCATTTGCAGCGAACCAAATTCTTGTCTGGTGATGAAGTGACAAGTTCCAAAGTGTCATTTTTTGACAAGCCCTTCATTTCTTCAATCATTGCTTGTTTATGTTTAGGATTTGCAAAAGATTCCCTCCAATTCTGGGGAATAGATACGGCAGAAATAGACAAGGCAAAGGCTCTATAAGGGAGACAAAAAATTATAGGAGACAAAATTAGATAAAAGGTGTTTGGTGGTGCAAGATCTGACTCCTTTTCTGTGAGCAATAGGCATATCTAACTCATTAGGAAATGTAGATAACTCACCGGTAGAAGAAGGTTCAACTTCAGTTGATTGCATGATGGCTTCTTCTGCTCTATTTCTCTTTGAGTAAGTTTTCAAATCATGTCTATCCAAACACCCAATAGTCTCCCCTTGAATTCTTTCTCCAATTTCATTTTCCCTTGTGACAATGTCATCAAGAGGTCCACTAGTGAAACTAGGTAGAGGTGATGAGGTACTCAAATAGGCCTCAGATTCTCGAAGGTAACATCCATGCTAACAAAAGATCTCCTAAAGGGAGGATGATAACATTTGTAACCTTTGTGTGTCGAAAATACCCAATGAAAACACACTTTATAGCTCTAGGATCAAGTTTCCTAGAATTCCTAGTGTGGACAAAGCAAACACACCCAAACACCTTTGGAGGAACAATATATTCATTCTTACCCTTTAAAGCTTCCCGAGGTTTGAAAATTGAGGGGTTTAAGTGGCATTCTGTTGATAAGATAAGTAGCCGCTAGAATAGCTTCCCCAATAACGTTTTGGTAGATGTATCGTGAACATAAGAGATCTTGCTACTTCTAACAAATGCCTATTTTTACTTTCAGCGACCCCATTTTGTGCACTAGTGTAAGGACAACTAGTCTGATGGACTATCCCATTGGACTCCAAATAAGCACCAAATCTTTTATCGATGCATTCGCTGCCATTGTCTATTCCTAAGATTTTTATTTTGCATCAAACTGAGTACAAATCATCTTATGAAATGACTGAAAACAAGAGAAAACTTCACTTTTGGCTTTTAACAAATATTTCCAAGTCATCCTAGTGCAACAATCAATGAATGTAAAGAACCATTGACTACCCGACAAAGAAATAGTTTGGATAGGAACCCATGCATCCGTATGAATAGTCGTAAACAGAGTTCTGCTTCTATTATCACTTACAAGATAAGAGTTTCAAGTATGCTTGGCATATTCACACGCATCAGAGAACAAAGATTCAAATCGAGTCCTTGAAAACAAATCGAGATATAACTTTTTCAAAACAAAGAATGATGGGTGTCCTAACCGTCTATGCGGCAGTATTATTTCTTGGTTGAAATCCTTACTTTCCCCCCCAAAAAAAAAGGCTTGACAAGAGTTTTGAATTCCATCTGATATATAAAATCATCATGCAATCTACCATTGCAATCTTTTTCCCTGTTTGAAGATCCTGAAAAATACAATTATCGGGAAAGAACTCGATTTTACAGTTTAGAGCTTTGGTGATGGCACTAACAGGTAAAAGATTGACACGGAACTCAGGAACACCACGAATGATAGTTTAATATCAGGAGTACAAACAACAAAACATGTTCTAGAGATAGGTTTAAAGAACCATTGGCTATTTTAACATTATCTCCTTTGAGACACGGATAATAGTTTTGAATGCCTTTAGAAGAGCCTGTCATGTGTCTATTTGCACAAGAATCAACAATACAAGAATTAAGGTGAGCAGCAAAGGCAGTACCTGATTGCACATGATTGGATGTGGCAATATTAGCGGAATCAAGTTTGGCTAAGAGGCGACGGAGAAGCTAAATTTCATTCGAAGACAAGATTTCTCTAGAAACCGTCTCCTTGAATGTCTCCATATTTCTGCTCATTCAGAAGCTAATCTAAAGAAAATTGCTTAAAAAGTAATCTGCATTGCTGGAAACCAAATTTGTCTTGACGGAACATTAACACCGGTGAACAGAAAAACCAAAATTAGTAGCGATAGGCTTGGAATGTTCCAACGACCCCAATAGAAAAGAAAATTCCAAAAACAAAACTGACCAGAAGGAGTTTGTGTTGCAGACAACAACCACCAAGAGAAAGAAAACTCGACCCCTTTTGATAAAAATGGAACCCGAGTGCTGCGAGGGAGATAAATCACCTCAAAAGGACAACAATGGCTCTGATACGACGTAGATTTTAAGAAAAAGAAAAGGCTTCTTGTATTTCTATGTGTTTACATCCCATGAGCAAGAGAATCTATAAAAATCTCCTAATACTAATTAATGAAATAAAATAAATCTATACAATCAATCCGGCTTTCAAACCAAATCAAATCAAATCAAAACTCATGAAATCATGCTAATCAACAATCTCCTAAATTTAATCAAATTTCCATGAAGAATGCTAATCAACACTATTGATTTTGATTAGGGTAGGTTGTCTACGTTACACCCCTTGGGGTGTAGCCCTTCCCGGACCCTACATGAACGCAGGATGCCTTGTGCACCAGGCTGCTCTTTATTATTGATTTTGATGTGACATTCTCTTGCTGTTCTCTTAGATTCCTACGGTTATTTAGGGATATCTATGTTAAACTTTAATACAATGACTCTTGCAAACGTAGTTTCTCTGAATCTTCATGCAATTCAAGTAAGTTTGACTATTTTAATTGAGCGATAATATGTCTAAGCTTTGTATGTTTTATCAAATATTTTATTATTGCTTTTGCTGTTTTATTAAAAGCTTTACAATCTTTGGTAGTTCCAAGGTAGTAATTATCTAAAAGAAAGCATCACAAAATAGTATTATAACTCTTAACCAGAAAATGCATTATTGATGTAAGACTCGGTTGCTTTAAGATCCTGAATATAATGATTGTGTTCTTTTGAGAAGGGAAAGGAAAACAATCATTATATTCAGGATCTTAAAGCAACCGAGTCTTACATCAATAATGTATTTTCTGGTTAAGAGTTAAAATGCCATATGCCCTTATCAAAGAAAATGAGAAAAAACAATAACATGAAATATGTGACGCATGTTTGAATTTTTTTAGCTGAAATGCTATGGACAGGTTAGCTGGAGGGGTATGGAATGGGAGATTGATATATCGACCTAATTGGATAGAGACCTTTACATCAACTTGAAACGTCATTTTTAGAGGGCCTTTTCACGTCTAACAATTAGTTCTACACTTCCACCAATTTTGTCATTTCTTCACTAGCTCATTGTGACATGCATATTTGGCCTCACTCACTTGATTCCTTCTTGTAACTTTGCTGCTCAGGTATAACTATTTGAATGACCTTCCTTCCTTGGATCCAGAATTATATCGTCATCTCATTTTCCTGAAGGTGATGTTTTCTAATATCCTTTATAATCGCTTTATCATATTTGAGTTGTTCAAACATGTATCGGTTCGTCCTAGCCATTATCAAGAAAAAAAAAAGGATCAAGTGTTGATTCTCATATTTATGTTTGATGCGTTTTGCGCGGTAAAGATGATTAAGATTTTCTTGCTTGTATGTCATGGACAACTAGCAATATGCTATGAAAAGATGTGCCCCCCCCCCCC